ACACAGGACGCCAGAATGGAAAAATGTGATCAATCTTGAACCATTCTTTGCTTTCATTTGAAATGATATTAACTTTGTTGATCAACATTTCCAGACAGCCCTTGATAACAGCACTGAAACATCTCTCTTGAACACTACGTTTAAAATCAATATTAGAGATTCTACTTCAGACAAGACCAATATCAGTAAGAAGTGTTATCAAACCTTTATGTATTTACAATTATTAAATTCAACAGACAATGTAAAGTTTGAACCAACAAAGTAAAATTTCAAGTGTTATAAAGCAAACTCTTGAACAGCAATTAATTTGTGATGGTTTTGTATTCAACACAAAAGGTGGCCATATTAAAACATATTGTGACATCCTAAATAAATACACAAAGCTCTTTGACTCATTGTTTCTTCAACAATACTGCTAACAAGCATTTTAACTAGTTTATTTTTTAACAGGGATAGGCAATGAAAAATAAAATGAGGTTGTCACATTCAACTATAGTAAGTAATAAAAGTCGAACCGCATGTGTGTCTATAGGTTCTCAATATTACACTCTTGTATTAGTACACTTAAGTGCGGTTTGACGATTTTATCACATAATGCCTTTCACGATTAGTGATGTCATCAAACACTTAATTGTAGTGAAATGGCAGGTATCACAGATGTCGGAATGAAAATTGGAATGGTGCAAATTGATATTATCAGTGTCCTCGATGCAAACCCAAAATTTAGAAAACCTCTTTACAATATCCCTTTAAGGTTTTGAATATTTCAATGTGTTTTCAAAATAAATTCTATAATGCTTTGCTTTTTCCTTGAATCTACACTAATGTTCACTCCATTGCTGCCTTTCCTGTTAACCCTTCTTGGAAAATATCTTGACAACTATTAAGACATTTAGTCCAACCACAAATCTCTTTGTGTACAATCCATTAGATATGATTGACAGCTTCATTTTATACATTTATACATATCATCTCGCAGTACATCTCTATATTTCTTTCTCAAGGGATAAAGTTGTCTATTTATGAGCTCTAATATTTCCACACATACTGAATTATATCTAGAAATCAAATCAACACATACTGAATTATATCTAGAAATCAAATCAACACATACTGAATTATATCTAGAAATCAAATCAACACATACTGAATTATATCTAGAAATCAAATCAGCACATACTGAATTATATCTAGAAATCAAATCAGCACATACTGAATTATATCTAGAAATCAAATCAACACATACTGAATTATATCTAGAAATCAAATCAGCACATACTGAATTATATCTAGAAATCAAATTCACACATACTGAATTATATCTAGAAATCAAATTAACAGAAATCTAGGGCCATCCAAGCACCTCAGCTCTCCTTTCGTATTCCATGGTACTAGTCATGGTGGGGGGTTTCAATTAGTTCTAATTCAATTTTGGCAGTAAAAGTAGAATAATTTTTTTCTTTTTTTCTGTCCCGAGTGTGCCATGAACCCCGCCATCCCCCACCCCCACCCCCCTTAAATAGGACAACCACATCCCTTTAACTTTTAATTCCTCCTGGTATTTAAACATCTGTCAGGAATTTGTTTCCATATTCAACTTCTGACCTCAACATCTATCTGATATAGTATAACTCCATAAACCATAATGAAGCATAACAGTACCGATTTAGTAGGAAGAACTAAAGAAATAGTGGTAGATTAACTTGTCGTCTGCAGATAAAAGAAAGATTATGGTTTAATCCTGACTATAATCTTCTTAAAACGTTCAATATTAGATGTAAAAGCAATTATTGACTTGTTACAGTCTTAAAATATATTGTTGAGCAGACAGGACAGAAATATATCAATCTACTTGGTACACGAATACCAGCATTATTTTACATACAGACTAAAATATTAATACATTCTCTCTTGCAGCTGGTGTGACAGAATAAGTTTGTGATTGTTGCTTATAACTATATGAAAGAGTCACACAGTTGAGCCCCCCCTCCCACTCTTGAAAAATTTCAGCCAACCGCACTTATCTCAGACCAAACACATAAAATAGATACAGGATTGTGTTGTATAGCAGAACTTTGCATCTTCTGGTGGTTCAGATGAACTTCCCAAGTTGCCAATATCCTTGTTGATATCATTTCTGAAGAACAGCTAGAATATTAAAGACCCCAACATGTAGCTTTAATTGCATAATAATACATATATTCCCATTTAATTTACATGAGAAAGAAAAAATTTCTCATTATATCTGGTACTTAGTTATGAAAACGGAAATGAGATTTTTATTACCCCTGACAACCATTACTTAGAGCAATCATAATCAAATTTACACTTGAAAATTCAATACTTTAGCAGTATAAGACAATGTCTTGGAAACAATAAAACTGTGAAAATCAATGTTTAAAGAAATAGAACATGCATAATACAATGTTGCTTTTAATCTAACCATTCCCTAGACCATCTTGTTTTCACACCTTAAATTTGATGTGCAGTAATATTTTTTTTACATGGCTTTACATAGGTTTCCTAGAACATCTTAGCGCTAAGATCGTTTCGAGAATATGCAGCCTGGACCACATCAAGACTGGTGCCACTTGTTCAAAGCTGGTCTGAAATATTAATGGACTGAACTTTTTCAACATTTTAATTGATCAGAGTATATGATTCAGTCAGATGTAGGGTTGATCCATATACCCATATAGGAATTTATATCATTATCACCATATACTGATATATATTAGTTATCATAATATATCCTCCAATTTTTGTCCAGATAAGAACAATTGTAACAAGTAACTTAATATTTGAAACAGATATTTTCATGATATTCACGATTGCAGTGTTTTTGAGAGATATTTAACAACATTTTGCATCAAAAACCAGTAAAAACCATACTTTAAAAATATTGTGATATATATACATATATTAATGCAATGCCTAACATCAGGATATCAACTTGAACCAATATTGCCCAGCCCTAGTCAGATAACATCTAGCTCTTGATACAGATATACCAATTAACATTTTCTGAATGAGATGTTAAATTGACCAACCTCATCACAAGATTGTTTTTGACCATGCCATAGCTCACTAGCATCCTGCAACTTATTATAGTGGTACTCAAAAAAGGACTAATACTACAAGTTTTCCTCTGTTAAACAAGAGGAGTTACTTCCCATATGTTAAACATAAAGGTAACCTGAAGAAAAAGATATAGGACTCATTTTATGCAAATGATTGTATTCGAATCTCTCTCCTTTTTGGGTTTTTTTGCATGCTTTCACTTTTAGGATTTTTTGCATGCCAATTTTTGGTCTAAATTTGGAATTTGATGTCTGAAATTGCATTATCTTTAAGATTTGGTGAGATGATGAGAGACTTAAAGGCGGAAGGCTAATTCTAAAAATAGTCGTTTTGTGAAGTGCCAAACTCTAGCGGATGAGTATAAGGATGAGTATAACCGGTCGTAGTCTACTTTCAATTTTAGTAGCTCAAAATTTTCATGGTCATCATATATTGAATTTTTTAGGAGACATTAAGGATTGGTCAGGCTTTCATTAGACATATTGGAAAGCTTTCAACGAAATGTCTGGAAAAAGTTGTAGAAGGTTGAATTTCGTGTTTTAACATGGGAAGAGATGGCAAATGAATTAGTGGAGTGAGTCCAAATCAATTTAAGTATTGACTGGTAATAAAAGTATTTGTTATACTCCTTTATGCCTATTACCATAATCAGTATTGGTATGTGTTTGTGAGCCCACACAGGTGAATCATAAATAATGAAATAGAAAGAATTTGGCATTGCCAACTTAAAGCTTGGGTCATTGGCTGAAGCTTTCCCACATAAACAAGAACAAGAAAACCATATTGTAGACACAAATTTGGAATTTTCTCTCTTACATCTGTAATATCTTTTGTATAATGAAATAATATGCCAAAAAGAAATTAATAAAAAAATTTCCCATTTTAATATGTCAGGTTTGAACAAATGTTAACCTCTGAAATAAACAAAAAATACAAACCAAAAAATTTCTCAAATCAGGCACTCCTTAGACTAAGAACTTTCACTTAGAAACAACACAGGTGGAAAAACTCCTTTGGTAGTAGTGATTGGTAGTTGGAAGAAAATGATAATCGATCAATTGAAATAATTGGTGTGTGTGCAATGAGGAAAATTCAACCAGGATAGAGGCATAAGACTATTATCTGTCAAGGGATAATAAATGTGTACTAACAGTGGGACTCAGTTTATTGTAAAAACCCTAATTTGGTAACAATCCTTACTGTTGTGAAAAATTGCTACTGTGATAACAAATGTAATAAATCAAACCACCCCTAACAACTATTTTTAATCAGAAATTAAAAGTGAATAATAAATAGATAACCTGGATATGGATGAATGGAAGACTGCAATTGAAACATATGTGGTAACAAGTGGTTGCTATATTAAAGGTGTTTCTAATATTTTATGCTTATCGGGGACATTCATAGTATCAATTTGCACCATTCCAATAGCATCAATTTGCACCATTCCAATAGCATCAATTTGCACCATTCCAATTTTCAATCAGACGTCTGTGGTTCCTGTAATTTCATTAAAATTAAGTGTTTTATGACGTTCACCTTTGTGAGGGTGACGTCTGACATCTGATTGAAAATTGGAATGGCACTAATTGATGCTATCATTGTCCCCGAAACACATACACAATTTATAAAACCTATTTACAATCCCTTTAGGGACTGCAAGACAAATAGACAGGGTGACGACAATATATGTTGATCATCATTTTATGAAGCCATATTGGATTCCTGCATGAGAAGAATGAGGAAAGTTACTAAGTGACATCATTAAATTCATCAAACATTCCATGTCCCTGAGGAAATTCAGGACTTTGTGCTCATGAAATATGGCGTATTTTAGGACTAGTTTAGTATTTCTATGGAATTTTACATTTTTGCACATTAGAATATGAGTTCATATAAAAAAAAAAAATATCCCTCTTTCAATAAGCTTTCTGGAATTCATCACCATCCTCCTCCCCACTTTCATCATTTAAATCTACCACAGTTTGTGCATGAGAATTAGTATTTATCAATCTTTTCATAGTGTACATATCATCCAGACATTGTTTCTGTTTCCTATTACTCCAACATGATATCACACTACCTAGCAACAATATAATCAATAAATTTACACAAATATGCACTCCAAAATATGTTGGAATCAACATCATTTGCTCATGATCTTCTTGGTCCCACTTTCCAAACATAGGTTTGTATAAAACAGATCCCACTTGCCAAAACCATGTGCCTTGCAATAGAACTACAAATCTGCAAGTCAATGCAATCAGAAGATTATTTCTATATCTCATCTCTAAGACAATAATGACTGCTAGAGCTACTAATATATATAGCAGTAAAGTATGCAGTAGGACATCCAAAGAACTTCTCCCGTGCAGATGAAAGCGGAATAAGATAAATTCCACACCATTGGCAAGAAAAAACATAGCATAGTCTAAATGTGTTGGTAAATTTGTCTGGAAGTACACTAGGATATCAATAAAACTAGCCAATCCAAAGAAGAAATACATAGTCACATGTTGTATATTACCAGTCATGTACAATACTCCATTCTTAGATCCTGTATAAATCTCTAAAGCTAGGGCGATGGTAATAAGGATAACTTTCATCACTGGTTCAATTGGCCAAGATTCAGCTTTCCCACATAAACAAAGACAAGGAAACCACACTGCAGACACAAATTTGGAATTTTCTCTCTTACATCTGTAATATCTTTTGTATAATGAAATAATATGCCAAAAAGAAATTAACACAAAAATTGATCCTGGCAAAGCATGTCCTCCAAAATTTCCCATTTTATATGTCAGGTTTGAAAAAATGTTTACCTCTGAAATAAACAAAAATAGGAAGTCAATAACTAACAATATCATTAGTTGTCCAATAAGCAAACCAAGCTTCATGAAGATCAGATGAAAACTATAACTTATGACATAGGTTGTGTCTGCAAAACAAATTAGAAAATTTAACAACTTAAACATTGCATTACTGTTAATTTCTAATTAATTAATTTCTAACTTAAGAGCATATAAAAACATAAATTGAAGGTCTTACAACCATCGTCCAATTTGAAAACCAGAAAAAGAGGTATTAACTAATGATGACCTCACAACATAGCCCCTTCTAGTTGACATCACATTTCTTATTTTTAATTACCAATGGCAAGTGCCATCAGAGCTTCAATTTCGCAATATATACTTTAAGTCTACATAACATTCTCACAGTTGGAATTCAATTAGCTCCTTATCCAAAAATGTTTACAATATATTTAAGTAACTATATTCCAATTCTGATACTTGTAACACAAAATGTATAATATTGTCAAATATGGTGACAATGACTGAGCACTGCACTATTCACATGGAATAATTGATAAATTGCAAATAATCAAAATATATGATCAAACCTTACAATAATATTCAAATCACTGTCAATAGTTGATTATATACAGTATGATTGAATGTATAGATATCAATTCCAGGACTTAGATGCAAAACAAACCCAATCAATCAATGAGATGCTTATAGTCAATCAATGCCTGATCGAGATAATGTTTACCTTAGCACTGCGGTTTAGATCAATAGATCAATAAATTCTATATGCTGCTCCACTAAAACAGGTATATAATTTAACAGTTTCTACTTCTTCAATCAATTATTTAAGCTATTATGGTTAGATTGTCAAGCAATAAAAAAATAATATCACTGTGTATGTTAATTATAGGATAATGACCCAGAATGAAGTTATTGAATATGTATATAATACATGGCTTTTCTTACTCAGTAAAAACTTGTTCTCAGTCATTATACAACTTATATACTGTTCAAGGATCAATTGATATCATCACCCATGTGATGTGAGATCCGCATGTGAAATGGGCATTTATTAAGGCAGGGGCTTCAATTAGAATGACAGTATGTGTGTTTATAAAGTCATGCTTAAAGGGACAAGTTTACAATCCATTTTAACGAAGTTTCTAGCAAAGCTTATCAGTAGGGGTCAAAATTTGAGTCTTCAAATCCATGTGTGTCTATGTTCGAACGTGAATAAGATGACACATCTTTTCTTGAGTCTCTGTCATGTGCAGAAAAGACAAATACAGATATAGAAAATAAACTTCCAGTTTAGTATTTTTTATTTTCAGATGTTTCTAGTTTTTCTGAAGATTATTTATGTATATTCAAGGCCTAAATCGACCCCCAAAATGGTGAAGTTCTCCCTTTAAACTATATCACATATAAGTCATTTGTCCCACTTATGCACAATTTTTAAAACTCTAGATTGTAAAAAGTCTGAGACCTCACTATTAGGAATTAAATCTATTTCCAGACATACGATTCCAACCAAAGAATGGCGGAAAACTCTTTAAAACCTGAAATTCACACAAATTCAGGGTGTTGGCCATAGACATAACTCAATATATTATTGATATCGATAATCTATATTAATATTCTTCAATGCAATAGAAATTGAATCATGCTGCAGGCAAATTATAAATCAATCACTTTATTATAGGAAGTCTAACTCTAAAGGCGCCAATAGAAGAGCTATGATGTGGGTGGAATGAGGCAGCCTTCTTATAATATTCAGTTTTATTCATACTGCAGACCAAATCTGTTTCGCTTTGTGATGTCATATTGATTATGTCTCAGGTCACCCGACAATTTGAAATATGCTTAGCAGACTCTTTCAATAATACCCCTATTTTCTGAGAAGAATTGTGCCTTCTAGAGTGTTTACAAGCTAAAAAGTTTTCAAGAACAAAGGCAATAACTCATACTAAAAAATTTTTGATTCTTCAGATGTTCAATGTTTCATTCTTGGGTGAAAAAAAACACGTTTTATCAAAATCTGTCAAGAATAGTGCCTTCTGGAGTGTTTATGAGCAATTTTGGACAGACAGACACATGGACATGGGTGACAGCCAATCTAAACCCCCCATTTCATAAGGACATTAAATTATTCATGTGTAAATTGTTATAAAATATTTAAAATGTGACTTTAGATTATTCATGTGTAAATTGTTAAAAATATTTACAATCTGACTTTAAATTATTCATGTGTAAATTGTTATAAAATAGATACAATCTGACTTTAAATTATTCATGTGTAAATTGTTATAAAATAGATACAATCTGACTTTAAATTATTCATGTGTAAATTGTTATAAAATAGATACAATCTGACTTTAAATTATTCATGTGTAAATTGTTATAAAATAGATACAATCTGACTTTAAATTATTCATGTATAAATTGTTATAAAATAGATAAAATAGACTTAAAAATATTCATGTTATAGCTGTGTAAGAAAGAACAAAAAAACCTTACTTGTGAACTTGTGTTCTGGTTAGACCAAAAGTTTGACTTACCTACAGAAAAGAAGAAAAACCACAATCATTTTTTTAAAGAAAAAGATAGCTTGCCAGGCAAGGTAATATATGCCCACTGGCAGTTTTGATTTTGAATAAAAGTATTTAGCAGTACAGTAACAATCAACAATCAGTATGAAATATTCAACCTTGTGTCATATACTTCTTTTGAACTCTTTAGGGCGATAATGAATAATATTGAGTATGAGTTATTGCCCTTGTTCTTGAAAACGTGTTCAATTTTTAGCTCATGAAAACTTTAGAAGGCAAATATTCAATCTTCAGCGCGGGATTGAATAATAAAAGCAAGTTTTGTCAAAATCCAGCAACAATCATGCCTTTTAGTGTTTAAGAGCTAAATTTGAAAGCATTTTCAAGAATAAGGCAGTAACTAAATATTTTTCAATTTTTCTGATTTTCAATAGGGTTTATCCTTGGGTAATAATAATCACTCATGCCAAGTTTCGTCAAAATCCATCAAGAATTGTTCCTCCTAGAGTCTTTACAACCTAAAAATTGAATGCGTTTTCAAGAACAAGGGCTCATACTAAATATTTGTCGATTCTTCTGATTTTCAATAGGGTTTATCCTTGGATGATTACGAACACTCATGCCAAGTTTCATCAAAATCCATTAAGAATTGTGCCTTCTAGAGTGTTTATGAGCTAAAAATTGAACGCGTTTTCAAGAACAAGGGCAATAACTCATACTAAATATTTTTTGATTCTTCTGATTTTCAATAGGGTTCATCCTTAGGTGATTACAAACACTCATGCCAAGTTTCGTTAAAATTCATCAAGAATTTTCCTTCTAGAGTGTTTACGAGCTAAAAATTGAACGTGTTTTCAAGAACAAGGGCAATAACTCATACTAAATATTTTTCGATTCTTCTGATTTTCGATAGGGTTCATCTTTGGGTGATTACGAACACTCATACCAAATTTTGTCAAAATCCGTCAAGAATTGTGTCTTGTAGAGTGTTTACAAGCAATTGTGGACAGACGGACGGACAGACGAACCAACAGAATGAGGTGACGGCGTATAATAAAAATTACCTTCATCTGGAGAATTATAATTCAATCTGTTTTTAGCATGAACACCATCCGTTTTTATATGATTACGTATTGATGACCATTGACGATCTTCTCTTGGATCCACCATACATATCTGGATATAAGAGATATTTAAACAGAACTTGAAACATGTTGTTACTCAGAATCTTCAGACGACTGACCTATTGTCAGTCTGTGTCTCTACTGAAGTTGGACAAGTAGAAGTTATTATGTCTACATTTCGAGACAGGTTCGGAACATTTGTTTAAAGACCTATGCTTAGCTCTGCTATCAGGAGACCAGGATATTTTGTAATATCAGTTTTCACTTTAAGTTGCTTTCATCTTTGAGAGTTTGGTGCTATTTTCATATTTTTAAATGATTGCATATGGTTGTAAAATCTTTGTTTATATATCAAAAATCATAAAATATCATGTTTACAAGAATTGCAGTAGACAATTTTTAATTTTGCAGTATTCATTAAAATATTGCAAAATCAACCATTAATTGATAATAGCTGACATATTCTGGTACATACATTCAAATAAGGCACAAAATCACTAAAATTTGCATCAGAACTGATACACTCACAGGTCAATTGATTCCTACAGGAATTTTGCCATAATACTAAAAATATCATCTTAGTAATATCCAAAACTTCAAATACATTTATCACCAGTTTCAAAAATATCAATATCGCCCAACACATCTCAAGGCAGTGGGAAATATTGATTTACTTTGCAACTTCATATTGTTAAAGAAAATTAATACATGTTAACTGAATGTTCGCAGTTTATATTTTGAAAGTAAAACAGAACTTACAGCATGATGAACAGTTTCTGGTACAGCATCTGCACCTTTTAAATCTATCCATGTTGGAAAATACATCAATTTTTCCTGAAACATAAACAGAGAATACAGGTTTTTTGTAGGTATAAAATTTGGTGGATTTGTTCATATACGTAAATTTGTACGTCAATATATCAGATATTGCATCTAAATTACTTTTAGGCCTACGGCTAATTCCACTCTTATTTTGCTATGTTTTTTTTTTTGTTTTTATTAGCTGGACTAAATGTTTAATGTCACTCATAGTACCAGGATGTTAAAGATGGGTCTCCTTATTTTTTAGTGTCAAATTCAGCAAACTATTTGATGAATTGGTGTTTGTAATGAATTATCATGTATTCTTAATCATATCATTATATTCTTATTGCATATAATTAAGAGTTTGCAATTATACATATAGGTTTTGTATTGTGTTTTTTCCTCCGAAGGGGTTGCATCACCTCATTACTTTACTGAAGTCAAGACAGAACATTTTTACAGATAGTTTTAAGATAATGAAGGGAAGGTACTTACAGCCATTTTCTTCACATCAAAGGAGTGAAGTGTAGCAGAGCAGACTATCATCTGTAAGCGTTTACCATCACTAGTGACTTTAGGTATTTGATCATGGAGTCGGGTTATCAGTTGACCATAACCCTGTGATAGCAGACCATCCTACAAAAATAGAAATGTTCACCTTAATGTTTTCCCAAAGCCAAATTGGGTTGGTGATTTCTTTCTAACCTGGAGATCTGAGGTTTCAATCTAAACATGATTCAGGATAGTAACTATGGATTTCTCCAAAAATTTTGCCTTAAAAATGATACAGGTTTGAGGGGTTAATACTAAACTCCTTTGTCAGATAAATTGAATAAAACCATGCCATAAAAATAAAAAATTCCACGGATGAAGTATGAGAACAAGTGCCTTAAGGGTAGGTTATTACTTACACATTCGTCAAGGACAAAGAATCTAACTTGATGTAATGCTAGTTTACCAGTTGATATTAAATCTTCCATTCTACCAGGTGTACCAACAACTATATCTACCTACAATCATAGATATTAAATATTAAATCTTCCATTCTACCAGGTGTACCAACAACTATATCTACCTACAATCATAGATATTAAATATTAAATCTTCCATTCTACCAGGTGTACCAACAACTATATCTACCTACAATCATAGATATTAAATATTAAATCTTCCATTCTACCAGGTGTACCAACAACTATATCTACCTACAATCATAGATATTAAATATTAAATCTTCCATTCTACCAATAACTATATCTACCTACAATCATAGCTATTAAATATTAAATCTTCCATTCTACCAGGTGTACCAACAACTATATCTACCTACAATCATAGATATTAAATATTAAATCTTCCATTCTACCAGGTGTACCAACAACTATATCTACCTACAATCATAGATATTAAATATTAAATCTTCCATTCTACAGCTGTAATTAAATTAATCCTCAAAATTGAACTACCGGTAACAGAAAGTTTACACTTACCCCTCGTTCTAATGCATCAACTTGTTCCTTAGCACTGACACCTCCAATAATTAACAATTCACTGAAACAATAATTGTTTTACTTCCTAAAGTGGCATTCAGCAATTTACTATAATGAATAATACACTTTAATAGATAACAATTACTGTTTAATAATATTGCAACGTTTCAACGATGATCTCTCCTCTTTATTAACCAAATGCTTGCAATATTATTAAACAGTAATTGTTATCCATTAAAGTGTATTATTCACATTAATTGTTTTAATCAACAAAATATGCCTTATAATTTACATTTTCAGACCTAGGTTTATTTTAGAATTTCCAATATATAATTTGTAAGCAAAGGCTATAGAAATGTCAAAATTCATAAGTCTCACAAATTATAATTAGTTTTTGATACAGGAATAAGGCACACTCAATACTTGCACATACAAAATAAATATATAAAAAAAACTTACTTACTTGACTTGGGGATTGCTGACATGTTTCTTAAACTTTTGTATCTGAGACAGGGTCTACAAATAAAATAAACAAATATTGTAAAGTGGCAACTACATGCTTTCTTGATGCATAGTTTTGACTTGCATCAAGAAAAGGTAAAATTCGAAGGTTAATGTGACAATGCCAGTAATTGATTTATATATCACCATTTGTTCAAATAATCATATACTGAATTCATAATTCATTATCATTATATTAAATTAAACAATTCTAATAAGGACCAATATTGAATTGAATTTAAAAAAGTTGCACTGATATTTTAAAATATATAGGTAATAAGCTATTGCAAAGCAGAATTTCATATTCTTATAAGACAGGACTAATACTGATATTCATAATAGATAAAACTTCATAAATTTACCTGTTCAGCCAATTCTCTTGAAGGCTACAATAAATAAATTGCATTTCATGAATAATTCAACAAACCACTCTTTACTCTTAACTTTTTTTACAGGATATCAAAAATCTGCATTTCATACTTCTTTCATCAAGAATGCTCCAATTTCATAAAACAGGATTGAATGCAGGATTTTATTTTGTGAGTCACAGAACACGGTTTGAGCAGATCTGTTACAAAGGATTTTTCTAAGGTCCAACCAAGGTTTAATTTGTTGTTCAGATTTTAGACTGTTATATATTTCAATGATTTCTAAGAAATAGTGTTGAAATGGTTAATCAGTTAACCGATTTCAGGTAGGATTTCACAGGTAACCAGTTAGGTTTTTAGATGATAGGTTAACCATCAATTTGATTGGAAGTTGAATGAAGCATTTTTGACAAAAATTTCTTCACTTAATCTTTTCATTAACATGTCCTACATGTTATCATACATAGCTCAGTGACCCAGACAAGATTCTTCGTTACGTTTTAAAATGCCACTTACTGTTGTTCGACCAAATCAAATTTCTATTCCTTGATATCTTTTGTTTTTATGTAATTTTATGTGGGATTATCTAATTGGCGATATGTGATTATGATGACTCTATGTCAGATTGAAGGGCCTACAGATTTCTGAATGTCAGGACCACTGATTAGTGTAAAGGAGTACACAGAATGTCGGAGTACTCAGGAGTTTTTTTTAAAACCGACAAGAGAAGGGAATCATTCAAGACCAAAAACATGTCGGACTACACAGAATGTCTGATATCACAGAGTATACTGAACTTCCACGACAAATGCAGTTTTTGATCTTGTTTTTTTTTTATCTTGAGTAATTAAGTGGGATTAATTTGGTAACAAAACCTTATTGCCAAAAATGACCCAGTTCTTCACTAAACATTTTAACACCACTAAGAGACAAAAAAAAAAAGAGATACCACAATAATTTATTCAAATTCTTCCCCTGACTCTTCTGCGTATAGTGGTCTGATGCCTTTGTCAACAAGCACCAGATAAATAAGCCTCTATCTCCCTATGAAACTTGAAAGCAATGTAACGGAAAACAAGGAAAACTCCTGAACTGAACTGTATCCTAGTCCTAGACAGGTATAGTCTTGGTATCAAAGACTACTAATTAGTAGGCAACTGATAAAAATAAATATGACTTATATTTTTTAAAGAGAAGCTTTACTTACTTACTTCAATAATGATTGCTTGTGGAGCGTTAGGTGCTGGTTTAGCATTCACTGCACCTTTAGCTGTAATATTGAAAGAGATATAATAACATACAGAATTGAACTAGTTACTATCAAATGAACCATTCATTATGAGGTTTTCAGACATCAGGGACACTTTTCAGGTGCCACCAAAATAGTAGGGACACGTAATTGTATTTTCAATTCAATATTAAGGTACAAGCAAGGGGAAGGCTAGTGCTTATTAAACACAATTTATTTTTAAAAAATTTAAAACCAAGGAACCACTAATTGCCTTACTTTGCCCCTCCTGACATTTCTGGTACCTATTTCATTTTTCTGAATTTCATTTTTATTGGCATTGTCAACATGGATGTGATTGTTACAAAACTCTGCTGTTCACTGGCACCTTCAATGGTAACAAGTTGTTAGATTCTAACAAAAACACTTACCCACAATATTGGACTCTATAATATGATCCTTACTAGCTTGACTCAATCCAATATATCCAGCCTATTAGAGAAAAAATAATGATAATGTTATTGATAAAACTCAGAATCTAAGTTGCTATCATAAATAAAATAATAATAACAATGGAATTCAAAAAAACATTCCCACAACATTTCAGTATAAACTTATACATTTGTATTTTAGTTTCAGGTCAATCTAAGCTTTTTATTCAGCACATCTAGGAGATATTCTCTGAGTGAGAACATTAGGTATCACAGATGTGTAGTGAATTGATCATTTTTCTATCTTGGTTGTTTCCTTTGAATTTCTAATACAACTGCACTGCATTATAGTATATTTTTCAAAAATCATTTCTCGTTTTGACATTTGTCTGCCATAGTTTGATTTCCATCTTACTGTCTAAGAATATTTAAGATATCTGCAAGTCTATCTCAAGGGATTACTCCAGAACATTCCTAACCACTGTGGCGTCAGAACCAACTCAAAGATTTTTTACTTTAGGTTCAACATCTTAATCAGCGAAATATGTCAACATAAACTATGACTTTTATTTGGAAACAAACCTTTGGAGGAAATTTGAATGGCTGGTCACCAAAGTTAAACTCCATTTCTGCATTCTAAAAAAGAAAAGATTAAAAATTTGTAGTTTGTGTCATATTATATTTGTGGTCATGTATTATTGCAACATGATCTCTATTTCAAAGTTTTTATTTTTTAAGTCTTATTCCAGCTCTCCATATCACTTCCACAATAAAACTCCATTGTTGACCATAATGGTGATTAGACACACCCAAAATAATTGTTCAGATTGCGGTGTGTAGGCTTACCATCAATATTGACTTACCTGAAGTGAGTGAGTATAGTCAAGTGTGAAAAACATGATATTGATGGACACCTTGACATGCTGCCTGCGCTTGATGAAAGACAGGGACATTGGGAAGTCGTATTGACTGGTTCATATTTATTGTGGTGTATGAAACTGAAATTAAACACAGTTGCCTACAAAGACATCTACAAACCTTCAATACTACTGCAGCAAAAAATTTCTCATTCAATGTATGCTTAGGTAGGTCATAAGCTTTCCCCAAATCAATGCCTGAAAACAAAAGAGATTTTAAAGACACAGCACTAAATACTAACATTACCCAAACTTTTTAATATCTTGTTTTAAAAAATGTCACTACACAAATTTATTTTATTTTAAATCACTCAAGAGAGTACAGATGTAAAGCAGATATAAGAGCAGACTCTTTCTCTAAGCAAAACTCTTACCATTTTTAGACCATCTAATTTCTCCTTTCTCTAAATCTAAATAACATCCAATAGTATCATTCATTCCATAAGCCTGGAAACATAAGTGTTAATTCAAAACATTATCAAACCTTAACATTTCAAAAAATAATTTAGTCTCAACAATCCAAAAATCAATCCAACTTCAACATTTTAAAACATAATAAAACCTGAACAGTCTAAAACAAAATCAGAACCCAACAGATGAGAATTTATCAAGCTCTCAACAGGACAAGGACTTGACAAGACCACTATAATTTCTAGTATAGAATAAGAGAAAAAAATCTTGAGATACAAACTGAAAAGATTGTGGACCATAGCCATATACGCCCACCACAACATGCGTATGGTAAATATTCAAGATTTTGGGGAAAGGGCAATAAGTCTGCTTTTAACAGTCGAAAATAGCTCAAATTCGAACTTGATCTTCGTTTTATGAATATGTATACACATACTGAATTTCATTTGATTTCATCAAAAAATCTAGTTTTTAGAGCATTTACAATCAAATGTTGATGGACAGACGGGTTACCGATAATATACCTCAACATAGAGAGATGCGGGCGTATAAAAAGATCAAAAACTACGAATAGAAACATGTACTTATAAACAAATCAAAAGCTAACAATGACAATTAATTGTATAGACTAACCTCTCCATACGAATCAAACTGCTTTCCCCATGACTTCTTTCCTGTTCCACCAAATCCATAACCAAATTTATCAGTTCCTAGATCTAATGTAGCTTTATCAGTGGACCAACCTACTCTACATAATCCTTCATCAGTTACAGTACCCTCATAGTAATATTTACCTACAAAATTATAAAAAAAACAATTTAAAAGGACAGATGTGTAATTTTGGGGGGTTGATTTGAGTCTTGAATATTTGTAAATGGTCTTAAAAAGTACCAGAAATGTACAAAAATGGCAAAATTTCTTAAAATATCTCAAACTAGGAATTTCTTTTCCTATTTCTATAGACGTCTTTTCTATAAATGGCAGTGTTTCAGGGAAAGATGACTTGTCTTTTAAACTTTCAAACGCAGATAAAATATCCCTATTTCTGAGATTAAGGTATGATTGGTCAAAAAAATGGTGCACTTTTCCCTTTAAATCATGTTTTACTGCTCCTAATTTGGATATTGAAAAGAGCAATGCCATACAGTGTTGAATGCCAGGAGAGAAATAGTTTTTCTTATTTACATCTCCTTACAAGCTTGGGTTTATTGCCCCATGCAAACTACTTTAACCATGTCAGCCTGTCCAGTCTATAGCACTGAGCGTCTGACAGTAATATCTTGACCTGTGCCAGGATTGAACCAATGAGTGACAGATTGACAAACTAGAGCCCCATACGATAGTGCTGCAAGGCTTTAATCCACAGTAGTTATAATTTAAATTTATAAGATAGAGCCAATTTACCTCCACCAACAACAGCCTTGTTAGATCTTGTACCATGCCAACCACCAGCATCTCTAGCTTGACATAATGTACCCTCAGGATCAATGGCTATAAAATAAATTTACAATTCAACTTATTAGGGCTACCCAATAAATTGACATGACATACATGTAATGTTTTCATAATATCAAAGCTTCAAAATAAACAGATATACATGTAATGTACCTACAGGATCAAACACTACAAAATAAACAGACATACATGTAATGTACCTACAGGATCAAATACTACAAAATAAACATACATGTAATGTACCTACAGGATCAAACACTACAAAATAAACAGACATACATGTAATGTACCTACAGGATCAAACACTACAAAATAAACAGACATACATGTAATGTACCCACAGGATCAAACACTACAAAATAAACATACATGTAATGTACCTACAGGATCAAACACTACAAGATAAACAGACATACATGTAATGTACCCACAGGATCAAACACTACAAAATAAACCGACATACATGTAATGTACCTACAGGATCAAATACTACAAAATAAACATACATGTAATGTACCTACAGGATCAAACACTACAAAATAAACAGACATACATGTAATGTACCTACAGGATCAAACACTACAAAATAAACAGACATACATGTAATGTACCCACAGGATCAAACACTACAAAATAAACATACATGTAATGTACCTACAGGATCAAACACTACAAGATAAACAGACATACATGTAATGTACCCACAGGATCAAACACTACAAAATAAACCGACATACATGTAATGTACCTACAGGATCAAATACTACAAAATAAACATACATGTAATGTACCTACAGGATCAAACACTACAAAATAAACAGACATACATGTAATGTACCTACAGGATCAAACACTACAAAATAAACAGACATACATGTAATGTACCCACAGGATCAAACACTACAAAATAAACATACATGTAATGTACCTACAGGATCAAACACTACAAAATAAACAGACATACATGTAATGTACCTACAGGATCAAACACTACAAAATAAACAGACATACATGTAATGTACCCACAGGATCAAACACTACAAAATAAACAGACATATGTGTAATGTACCTACAGGATCAAACACTACAAAATAAACAGACATACATGTAATGTACCTACAGGATCAAAATCTACAAAATAAACAATGTATCCACAAAGATGACATTAGTGTTCCAGCCATTTGATTGGTCAGTTACTAAAATTGAGTTTAAAGTTAGTTTTATTGTTATCCAATCAGATTAAGGTATTTCTTAAAATAAGGATTTTATTAAAGTGAAGTTTTGGAGAATAAGGCCCCTGATATTGGTTCAGTTATGTGTCAGTTACTATAATTGTCATGAGAACTTTAGGATAGGACAAAGCAATCAGTAGCAAGGAAGGAGAGAAATCTTACCCATTGCACTTCCTCTATCAAATGAATTCATCTTCCATTTATGACTTTTACCTGAAAATACAAAAGAATCATTTATTTCTTCTATTTTGTGTTTATGTTACCAAAATTTGAACAAATAATATATTTATAGTAGGTGAATATGTGTATACACTCTTCAAAGGACAACCAACATAAACAAATTGCATACCGGTACCAGTATACCCAAGATATTAACATTTTCGAAAGATATAGGAATAACAAAGAACTTAAGGAGTCAGAGGGCTCTAGAATTTCTGCCAATTAAAACCAATTTCATCAAAGATTAAAAATAAATGTTTACCTGTAGAAGATTTTGGTCTGGAAGTACTAGTCTGAGCACCTTTCCCTTCTCTTAAATCTCTTAATGTTTCATGGACTATTTGTAAGATTGGTAAACAAAATGCCTAAAATGAAAGTAAAAAAGGTTAATGTAAGTAGGTATGTGAGGTAAGTAAGGAAGCCTACCCTGTCTGAAAAGCAGAGGTGTGAAAAAGTTGACTAAAACAAGAAAAATCATTTTTTAATAAGAAGCAAACTTTAATGAATATCTACATATTCATTTATTTATTAAGCATTCATTTACAAAAAGTAACTTTCATTTAAATCTTACAGAGGTCAAATCAACTTACTCCTGTTTTACCACTGCCAGTTTCTGCAGCCTGAAAATAAGCAAAACATAAAATTAGTTATGCTATAGCTGCGTGGTTTAAAGATCATAGAACAAACCCACAGAAAAATTACAATTTCAAATCATAAACATCAGAGTCAAATATTTTATCATCACATTGTAGCCTAAGCAGACCTAAAGGATATATAAGCTGTAAATATTTGCCTTATCAGCTCAATTTGAGCTATCCCTTTCGCTTTTCAGAAGTAAATTCCTACTACAACTTAAAGGTATCTATATTAATATAAAAACTACATACCATTAATACATCTCCACCACCTAATACCATTGGTATAGCTTCATTTTGAACATCTGTAGGAAGACTGAAATCATAAAGCAATTGTGTTCATTAGTATTATCTAACATTATTGATCGAGACACATGCATATCAAGGTACACTTTTAAACATGATAACAATCATTGGTAGAGTAGAAAACAATCATATCCAACTTATTTTAACTCTTACTGAAATTAATCATAATATCTATACATAAAAGTTCCATACTATCAAATACACTGTATTTAGATAGTGAGGTAATCAGTCTAATTAATATCTCAGCACTGGAGACATCAAACTGACGAATGTTCAAGAAAGCCATCTTTAGACTCTAATTAGACCCTAACTGAAATAACAGCTAATAAAAAGATAGCTTGCCAGGCAAGGTAACATATGCCCACTGGCAGCTGTCAGAAATGATAAAACAGTCTTTAGTGACTAAAGTATGAATTTTCTAATATTAAAGAAATTTTAATTTAATAGTTTGAATTCAATGATATAAAACCGTTCATCGAAAAATCATCAAATTTTAACTTGACCAAGATCTAATCAATATAAATGATCACATCAAATTTCATTAATATCAGTTGAAAACTGAAGCCTCTATAGTGTTCACAAACAAATTTTGCCACGTTTTTCCCAAGTCAAGGGCAATAACTCAAAAATCGTTCATCGAAAGATCGTCAAATTCAAACTTGTCAAGGTTTCATCAAATCAATATAAAAGATCACACCAAATTTCATTAAAAAACAGTTGAAAACTGTAGTCTCTATTGTGTTCACAAGAAATGTTGACAAACCGACGGACAGGGTCGCGACAGCAATATACGTCTACATTTCCATGTGGGCATATAATTATACAGATAGTGGACAACAGCCATATACGCCCACCACGGCATGCGGATGGTAAATATTCAAGATTTTGGGGCAAGGGCAATAACTCTAACCGTCGAAAATAGCTCAAATTTGAACTTGATCTTCGTTTTATGAATATGTATACACATACCAAATTAAAAAAAATCCAGTTTTTAGAGCGTTTACAAGCAAATGTTGACGGACGGACGGACCGAAGGACAGACAGATAGGGATGCCGACAATATACGTCCACATAGAGAGATGTGGGCATATAAAAAGGGGAGTAAAGTTTGGTCTAATTTCAAAGAGACAGGTGCACCTTTTTTTTTGACCAATCATACTTTTAGAACTATTTAGCTAAGCGCTAATAGAACCTTCAAATGCATGTGTATCCAGAATTATTTGTATTTTAATGTTAAAATGAGGAAGACTTGTTATTTTAAGATAAGCTGTGATATATTAAAAAGACAGATAGAAATAATGAATAAAATTCCTAGTTTGAAGCATTTTTAAAGGAATTTTTCGATTTTCATATATCTCTAGTAATTCTGTAGACTATTAACATATATTCAAGATTAAAATCAACCCTAATAAAATACTTTCCCTTTAATCAAAGATAGTATGCCACACATAATGATAGCAAGTATAATAACATAAGCTTACAGTACCTCCAATCCATTTCTTCTACAGCTTTGCCAATTTCTGGCATAACACCCATTTCTACAAAATAGATTTACACAGGTTTTTGGGGCTGGGTAAAAGGATGAAAATAATTGATTATCGTCGCTAGGAATTTATCATTTCAATTATCGATTATCAAATTTCATAATCTATAATATGTCAAAGTTACATTTCTCCACTGTCCCCGTTAATAAGAAGTAATCCCTTCAGCACATAACTTACCCACAATAAACTAAAATAACAGATCAAAGCAAGAATATACTTCTAAGATGCAAAAATGTTTAAAAATAATATCTACAGGGTTTTTCAATGAATTTATTTTGATCATTAATTGATTATTGATCGGCATTGATCGGTAGTCTGCCATCAATAATCAATCTCAATTTTGTCATCAATACCCAGTCCTACAGGTTTTTCCATAGCTAAATGAATGTCAATTTTTCTCTTGCATTTTGCCAATCATATTAATGCAAATGGAAACACCAACACCACTGAATCTTAGATTGTCTAGGCCTATTGGTTGATGAAAATGCCAACCAATGAAAAAAAAAAATTATTCTAAAAAATAGTTTTATGGATTATTCAGTGAAAACTTTGTGTCATTTTCACATTTTATTTCCAGAAGAGAATGGTGTTTAAATCAAAGGTAGAATTGTTAAACGGCAGTAGCTATTTACCACTGGCATGGTAAGCGTGGTAAATAGTCATAAGTACCTTACAGATATATACCACGCCGTGGTAACTTGTTAAATTAGGCCAATGTCACCATGTTAGTCTATGGAGAACAAAATTTAAATTTTACGTTTTTTTTTATTTGGTGGATTTCATTATTATGAATGAAAAATCATAACATTTACAATGTTTTGATTGTTATGAGGCATTGTATTGTCTTTCGAAATGCGTTCAGTCTGTAGCTTGTAAATACTCCAGAAGGCACAATTCTTAACGATTTGGACGAAACATGTTGGAATTGTTTAATATCAATGATTGATGAACAATATAACTTTGCTCTTTAGCTCGTAAATGTAAAAGGCACAACTAAACTATTGATAAATTGAGATAAAACTTACATAAAACTTCATAATAATCAATTAAAAACCTCATTAAAAGTGTTGAAAAATATGTAATTAGTTATTTTCAAAAAAATGTTTGAAAGAAGTCTATGGCTAAGGGTTGAATATAATGAACTGATGATGGGCTCAGTTCTGCCAAATGTTTAACATCGCCCAAAGATGTACCCTATTGAAAAAAATGGGAACTATCAAATATGAAGTATTGTTCTTGTTTTTCAAAATTTAATTTGAACAAAGCTGACAAATGTTACTATCTTAGACTCAACTGACTCACTCTTTTGAGCTATCTGAATTGTTTGTTTCCAGATGTCAGAAAAGATACAGATATTGATATTGATAGTGTTTGACTTTAGTATGTAGTCTATGTCAGTAATAATACATATATTGATAGTGCCTGATTGTAGTATGTAGTCTATGTCAGTAATGATACAGACATTGATAGCGTATGACTGTAGTATTAGTCTATATCTGTATCATTACTTACCTCTACTACATACTACAGTCAAACACTATCAATATCTGTATCATTATTAACCTCTACTACAAACTACAGTCAAACACTATCAATATCTGTGTTATTACTGATCTCTACTACACACTACAGACAAACACTATCAATATCTGTATCATTACTGACCTCGACTACATAGTACAGTTAAACACTATCAATATCTGTATCATTAGTCACCTCAACAACATACTACAATCAAAATATCTCAATATCTGTATCATTACTGACCTAGGCAACATACTTCAGTCAAACAAACACTATCAATATCTGTATCATTACTGACCTCGACTACATACTACAGTCAAATAGTATCAATATCTGCATCATTACTGACCTTAACTACATACTATGTACAGTTAGACACTATCAACACTATCAATGTATGTATCATTAGTGACCTCCACTATATACTATAATCAAAAAGTATCAATATATGTATCATTACTGACCTTTACTACATACTACAATCAAAAAGTAGCAATATATGTATTACTAAATTATACTATATACTACAGTCAAACAGTATCAATATGTATAGCATTACTAAATTCTACTATATACTACAGTCAAACAGTATCAATATCTGCATCATTACTGACCTCTACTACATACTACAGTCAAACACTATCAATATCTGTATCATTACTGATCTCTTCTATATACTAGTTTCAAACACAGATAATTCTGGACACATGTTAGTTTGAAGGCACAAATTTTGACGTGAGCTATGAACACTATTACTGATTGGCTTAGACAAATAAAAATCTCCTTGCTGAGACTAAAGTATGATTGGTTTTAAAAATTTAAAAAAAAAATATTTGTCCTGGGTGCAAAAAAATTTTTCAATGCTGAATGAATCGAGTTGAAAAGTGGGCCATGTTTCCACTTTCTTGAGAATTTTGAGGACTTTTTTCAGTTTTAACATAATTTATTTCTTTTTTCAAAGTTAATGTTATTTCTGGACACTTGTAACTTGTAAAAACGTAGTAATAGTAGAAGACAAATTGCATAAAATGCAGGAATTTATTTTTAAAAATTATTCTCAAATAAAATACCCTCACGATCATTTGGGAAGATTAGTCCTGAATTGATTTTGAATAGATATACTTGTAATAAGCCTGGTTTCCAATTCATTAACAAGGTTTAAAGTAAATTTTGACTAAATTGTAATTAAGATCTATTGCCGAAAGAACAAATGAATTTACACTAAATTTTAAAAATCTAATTTTTAGATAGGTTTGAAAGGTTTGAATTGAGAAGTATTCAGTCATGAATCGTGAACTCTTCAAAGTCGGCCTTGACATTTATTTGTAAACAAACACAGCATTTTTTTTTTCAAAAGTGAATTTTTATTGAACATGATGAGTTATTGAATTCAAAATCCTTATTTTGAATATTTAGGTAGTTTTAAGCAATTTTTGCCGAAGGGAATATCAAATCATGACTAATTTTATTTACCATGCCATTAAATAGCCTTATTTAACCTTAAATGGAAGAAAATCTCATTATAAGATTCTAAGGCCAAAGACAAATTCATTGAAAATATCACTTCATAATTTAACACCAGTTCTTAGGCTTCAACATTAGACTTTGTATTACTTTGAACATTTTGAACAGTTGGATGCTTAACTTAAATATACCTACTTATATTCCTGAAAAACACTTAATTATGTTTTAAGTGATATTCAGAATTAAAATTCAGATCAAATTATGAAAAAATATGAACTGGACACGTGCTGGAATATACATCATACATAATAATCACGAATGAAGGATTTTTTCAAAATTGACAGTTGCAAATATTGACGAGTTAACAATGTGGAGTCAATATGACATGGTTTTTGCACAAATACGTGAAATTTTTCATTCATAAGCGGAAATTTTACCAAATACCTTCGAAGGCAGTCATTTCGCTGAATATGTAGACTAATTTAACCGGAAATAGGAAATGACGTCTTGTTAATCGATCTATAGACTCGGTTATCAAAACTGCACTATGCAAATGATTGTATTCGAATGTAGTCCCTTTTATAGAAAATCTTCTTTATCTCTCTTCCTTTGGGGGTTTTGTATGCCTATTTTTGGTCTAGATGTGGAATTTGATGTCTGAAATTGCATTATCTCTCATTTTTGGTGAGATGATCAGAGACTTAAAGGCGGAAGGCTAATTCTAAAAATAGTCGTTTTGTGAACAGCCAAACTCTAGCGGATGAGTATAACCGGTAGTAGTCTACTTTCAATTTTAGTAGCTCAAAATTTTCATGGTCATCATATATTGAATTTTTTAGGAGACATTAAGGATTGGTCAGGCTTTCATTCGACATATTGGAAAGCTTTTAACGAAATGTCTGGAAAAAGTTGTAAAGGTTGAATTTCGTGTTTTAACATGGGAAGAGATGGCAAATGAAATAGTGGAGTGAGTCCACAAGCGCGAACATTGGACAGAAAAGCTCTATCATTAAGTAACTATTACAGGATATCTATGAGTGCAAAGAGTATTAATTGTTTTTGGACCAGGACCGAGACCATCAATTAATTTGACATCAGTTTCCATGTTCAATCTCGAAATTCAGCCTACTGTAACTTTTTCAAGAAATCTAGTCCAATATGTCAGCCTTTTGTCTACTTCGGTTCTGAAAACAAAATTCGATATATCACGACCATGAAAATCTTGAGCGAACTTAACTGAAAGTAGACCACTACATTTTGTCAACATCTGTTTGACTGTTACTTACACAAAACGACTATCATTGGAATTTTCCCTCCGCAAGAAAATCTCTTATTTCACAAAATATGAAAGAATCAGACATCAAATTCCAAATCTCTTCACCAAAAACTAATCAAACAATAGGCATCCGGAAAACTCATAAGAAAAAGGATTTCTAAAAATTTAACGAACTAAGAGGATTTCTAGAAATAGCTAGAAATAGCACGGACCACGGACTAGTGGTAAAATTGTACCTCTCGGGTCAAAATTGGCCGAGTTATGGCCATTTTAGTGAGGGGGTTGGGTCTGGCAGTCCGCCTATAGCGTCTTTCTGCACTGCATTTTCAATGGGGTGAAGACCAAAACTTTGACGGGCTGCCGTTCGAAGGCTATCAGAGCTGGAAAGTTGAAATTTATACTGAAGGTACACACCTATCTGAAGTTATTGTGATCCAAATTTCAGCCTCCTATCTTGAAAACTCAGCCTGTTACAGCACTTTAAGTTTCAGGTTTTTTCTGGCACCAAAATATAAGCAAATTTCCCTCTTGAAAATTTGGGTAGAACTTCAAAGTCGATTTTCCCGAAAGATTTCAAAAAATACGAATTTCTGTTTTCGACTGAAATAGATAGAAGACATGTTTAACTTTCGTTTGCAGCCAAAATTATACCTCTAGGGTCAAAATTGGCCGAGTTATGGCCATTTTAGTGACGGGTTGGGGGTCGGCAGTCTGCCTATAGAGTCCCATTGCACTGGTCTGAGCGAAGACCAAAACTTTGACAGGCTGCCGTTCGAAGACTATCAGAGCTGGAAAGTTGAAATTGCACTGAAGGTACACACCTATCTGAAGTTGTTGTGTTCCAAATTTCAGCCCCCTATCATGAAAACTCTGCCTGTTACGGCACTTTCGGTTTTCCCAAAT